CTGTGGTTTCACAATCTTAAATTATGTCCAGGATATTTGATTGTAAAAGTCAGTCAGAACTCTAGTGGTGGCCTATCACTAATCCAATTTTCAGGGTTCATCACCCAAGTAAGTACACATGAGACTCTGTGTGTGTGTGTTTGTGTGTGTGTGTGTGTGTGTGTGCCTGCCCACGCATGCATGCCGGGATGCTTTTGAGGGCTAACTGCCTGTGCTGGGTCCCTGGGGCTTTGAGCTGAGAACAACATCAGATCCTGCTATAAGGTAATTAATAATCACATCAGCTCATTGCAAAATCAAGTGGCCATGCTGATGCATTAATACAGGCCTCCCAAATCATTAGGGCATCAAAAGAGAAGGCAAGGCCTAATCTCCTCCTACGATTAGAAGATAAAGGTTCCTGAGATCTAATGAGTTCCTGATAACCTGGAAGTATGCTCCTAACATACTTTCTACCTTTTCCAGTTATATTAAAACAAAAAAACAAAAAAAAGCTACCTACCCACAAACAAAAGGGCCCATTGTATTGGCTAGCCAGGTCTAAGCCTTTCAAATACCCTTCTCCCTGTAAGCAATTTTCAAGTGGTTGGAAAAAACTGTCATTCAACACATGCCCTTCCTGCCTGCATGATGCCAAACTGGCTCGACAGCCTTTTAAATGCATTTACCAATTATTTGAGTCTATAGCAAATCTTCTCTTTCTTCTTGGAGAGCATGTAGTTTGCAGTTTGATTCCTGTTTGGTCAATAGTCACTGGTAAGAGGGAATAACTTTCACAATTGCTCCATTTTTTTTTCCTGACCACTGAGATATTTAGCTATCTACAGGATCCCATGGTAAGTGGTTGACTGTGCAAAGGGTGCTCAGCGGAGCAAGTGATTGACAGCCCAATAGCCAACAGTTCCGTTTTCTGCTGTTGTGGCTGAGAGGACTGGCTATTTCATAGATGCATATATCATTTTGGTTTCTTTTTTACAGAGTTGGCACTCGTTAACTGAGAGAGGTATGTCATAAATCCTACATGGGTAGGATTGACAGATCTAAATTTAATTGTGGGAGCCTAGGAAAGCCAAATACTATATGTCTCAATGCTAGTCAACAGGTTTTGTTGTTGGATTTAAATTTATGAAACAGTAGGTCTTGACTCTATAGCCAAGGATGTCCTTGAACTCTCAAACTCTTGATCTTCTTGCTTCCCCCCCCCCCAACCTGGGAAAATCCCTGCACTGTAGAATTGCTGCAAGGTTCTTAGAAGGCTACATAGTGTCTACACTCTGAAAGGCAGATGGAGCTTCTCAATCTTTACCACACATCCAAATCCCCAAGGGATTTGGGTGAGATTCTGACCCTGAATGAAGTGCTTTAGGGTGATTAAAGAGATCCCCATTGCCAAGTTTCTATGCAATATATGTGCTGCTGAGACCACACTTGAAACAGCTCTTGCTTGCCTGCTTTCTTGTTTGCCTAATGTAGTGCAGGCTGGTCCTGAACTTAGTATGTAGGAGGATGACCTTGATCTCTCAACCTCCTGCCTCCACTTTCTTTTTTTTATTTTTTTAGGTTTTTTGAGACATGGTTTCTCTGTGTAGTCCTGGCTGTCCTGGAACTCACTCTGTAGACCAGGCTGGCCTCAAACTCAGAAATCCACCTGCCTCTGCCTCCCAAGTGCTGGGATTAAAGGCGTGTGCCACCACCGCCCAGCCTGCCTCCACTTTCTAGGTGCTAGGATTATAGGCATGCACAAGCACTCCCAATCCTAGCAAGGTGCTTGTTATCATTTGAAAGAGCCTTAACAATTACTGCTTAATAATAGGCACCATGAAATATTTCAAGCCCACACTTTTATTTTTTCAGACAGTGTCTCTCTGTGTATCCTTGGTGACTAGGAACTTATTATTTAGGTTAGAGTCACCATAAATTTGCTGCAATCCTCCTGTCTTTGATTCTATCTTAAAATAATATCTTCTGTGTAGAATTGTTTTGCTTAGCTTATACCTGTGTGCCAGATGGATGCAGTACCCACAGAGGCCAGAAGAGGGCATTGTGTCTCCCAGAACTGAAGTTACATTTGCTTGTTGGCCACTGTTTATGTACTGAGAATGAACTCAGGTACTCTGGAAAAGCTGACAGTGCTCTTAATGGCTAAGTCATGTCTCTGCCCACACCCCCATGCCATTGCCTCTCGTGTCCTGAGATGATAGGTGTATGCCATAGGTTAAATCACACATGTTAAAAGCAGCAAGAAGGGAGACTTGAGCCCAGGTATTCAAGACTGGCAGAACTAATACAGCAAGGATTCCTATCTCAAAAAAAAAAAAAAAACCCACCATATTTTGTTGATTGATTTAAATTTATGAAACAGAGTGGGCCTTGACTTGACTCTACAGCCAAAGATGTCCTTGAATTCTCAAATTTTTGATCTTCTTGCTCCCCCCCCCCCCGTCCCCGTCCCCACCAAGTACTGGTAGGTTTTAGGTGTGTGGTGTTGTGCCTGGCTTCAAAAGAAATATTATTTTTAAAAAAACAGCTTATGTTTCAATATCTGAATAAATTCATTCCTACGTTTGATTCTCAAGACCTACAATTGTACAAAATAATTTATTGTGGGCTTTCATTTGCATGTATCTGTGTATGTGTCAGTCTGTCTCTGTGTGTATGTGTCTGTGTCTGTCTCTCTCTGTGTGTCTGTGTATCTCTCTCTGTGTCTGTTTGTCTCTGTATCTGTCTGTCTTTCTCTCTGTGTCTGTATATATTCACCTGCACAATTTTGCTATCTCCGTTTCATGTCAAGATTTAGTACAGTTTCCTCACACATAGGCACAATTTACACTGTTTATTCAAGACAGAATTATATTGTCTTTCTCTACCTTGATGGACTAAAATCTGCCCACCTCCTCAAGAAATCATTTCACTTTATTGAAACAAGCCTGTCTGCTGTCTACCGTGATCACATCCCAAATGCCCGCCACCTCATGTGTTCATTAAGGCAGTGACTCACAAAGCAATTTCCCAGCTAATTAGAAAATGCATTTACTGAGCTGGACATTCCCTACAGCCGCCTCCCTTCCAGTGGGAAGCTTTTATTAGGCACTGAAGCTGTCATAACTCCAAGGAGGTGTCTCTTTAATGTGTTGAAAAGCTTTTGACTAATCAGGCAATCAGCAAATCAGACAAAAACGAAATGAACAAAACAAGGGACCCAGCCAGACTCAGAGTCCCTAAGATCAGTGTTGGAGCTCATTCCATCTTTGCCTGTGACTGACTTAAGGCACCTTGGACAGTGTAATTGGATAAGGTCTCATCTTAATGTCCCGCAGCTGGCTCTACTATCCATACTGTTTAGTACTTAATCCTGGAGACTAACGTTCTGCTCTGCCATGTTGTTTATTACTCGCAGATTATAAGTGTAGCAAATATTTTCTTAAAGCAGTAATCCGTAACTTGACATTCAGTAGCTGGGAGAATGCAGCGAGGCTCTGGTGGAGTCCTCCATTTTGAATCTTGTATCATGGTCCCACAGTCGTAGTACCTCCCCCAACTTGCTGCAGTTCTAAATTGCTCTTTTTAGGCATGCTCTCTCTAAATGTCAGGGCATTTGGTGCCACTTGCAATCTCAATCTTTTTCATAATAGCAGTTTCTAAATCCCACCGTCTGGTTCCACGTGTGCGCACAGGCACCGCTGTAGCTATCTCCTCAGAAGCTGCTACCGTCTTCTCACTTAATCGCTTGCTTAAATGAAAATATCTAGACCTTGTCCCCAGAATCCTAGAAATCCCAAACTTTATATGCTGACCTTGCACAGTTCCTTCTGAAGTGAACTTGGATGACAGGACTCTGCTAGCCTAACAATTTTGAGGTGGCAGACACACCTGCAGTGACAGATAATTGCAAGCATTGCCCCGTGTCTTTTTGCAAGTTTCCTGTTTGGTAGCTCCTTTCAGGATGAATCACACTTGTTTTCCCAAATGACAGCTTTGCCTCTTCCTTCATTGAACTTTGGAAGACACTCGGGTCCTTGTCTACCAGGGTCCTGTCCTTACTACTTCATATTCACTGCTGATGGTGAAGCTTTCTTCATAGTGACTAGAATGGCCCATGCATCTGTCTCGAGTATCTTCCCTAGACATTGTTTCAAACCAACTCTCAGAAGTTGTGGTGCTCAGCCTGGCCCTTCTGTGAACCCCTCTCTGTGTAGTAATCAACAGGACTGGCTCAGGTCTCACTTTTTTGAACACTCACAATTCTTAATTTTTACCCAAAGGAACACTAAATCTATGCTATTATTTTAATACTAAATCTAGCCAGGCAGTGGTGG